TCTTATGGCACGGCACCAAATTGCACTCCAGGAAACAATGCCAGGGATTCCATTTGCCATCACTGAAGCGAAGGCTTTGCCCATAGGGCCATTTTATTGGGACCTAAGAGCATCGCTTCCTTGCCACCCCCTGCTTCCCGGCCTCATGGAAGTGTTGGTGCCGCATTTGGGACGTTCAGAAACCGCCTGAATCATCCCGTGTATCTGCTGAAATGATTCAGCTCCTGGGAAGGCAGGCTCAAAGCCTGGTGCTTGTCACGTTCCCGTGAGCTCGCTGGGCCAAATGCAACCTTTTCCTTTGGGTAAGGATGAGGGCGCGGGTCGGATCGGAGCCACAGCTTAGGTGTTGCTCGCTCCACCCCTCCGCATGGCTTCCTTCGGTTCCCCGGTGGCAGCTCAGGATTACTCGTGCTGTGACGAGACGCTGAGTGTCGGTGGCCCGGCTGGAGGGGAAACGCCGGCGGTGGTGACTTTTCTAACTGATCTTTTTTGCCTTCTTGCCTTGTTTAATTTCCTTACTGCTCTGACTGTTGTGCATGTTCCTCCTCTTTCTCTCTCTTTCTCTGCTGCATTCTGGCATCTCACAGCTATCACATGATCAGGTAATTCTGGTGCTTTCCTCCTCCTCCTCCTCTTTCCATCCCACCCTCCTCTCTCTTTCTGCTAAGGCTTCACTGCAGAGAGATAATACAGGGAGCACCTTGAAATGGTGCGTCACACCCCCCAGCTCCACAAACAGCCACGGCTACCATGGTGAAAGTCCGAATAGTAACTTAGCAGTCACAACCACAAGGCCAAGTCCAGCTGGCTTTTCTAAAGACACTGCCACTCTTCTCTAATGGTCCAAGCCACTACTATTTAAATTGTCTCTAAAATCCTGTAGCGTCTTATAATTAGGGAGCTCCCAATGAACACAGCGCTTTCCAACTGGAAAGCATCCTACTGTAAAATAATTCTTCATACAAGTTATGTTTCCCCTAGGCTGAACTGCTCTATTTATTCCTTTCCAAATTAGCAAATGCAACTTTTTCCACTTTGGATCCACTGCTGAAGTTAGTTAGTCCTCGCTGCAAAATGAATTTCCCTGAGGCTGAACTTGAAAAGTGAGGAGAAGCCTTGTGGGGTACACAGAAGGTTTGTCTACACAGACCCTCGGGGATGCTAATGGGCCTTAAACTGAGGGGTGCAGTTGATGCAAGTATGTCTAAAGCAGGTTAAACCCCCAAGTGAGTGATTTTGTTTGGAGGTGAACTTTTAGCTCGTTAGTGAGGACTAAGCTCTACTCTGACTTTTGTTCCAGAATGGAGTCCGCCTGGAGTCTGACGCACTTTAATTTATGCCCATTGACTTCACACCTTTAGCCCCCTATGAAAGTTGGCTGAGAGTTGTGTGTCTCCATTAAAACCACATAACCGAGTGTCTGTAGTTACTCTGGATTTCCACACGTGTATCCAGGGTCATGGGCTGGCTTGCTGGTGTGTTTTGCCGGCGCTGTGTAAGTAATGCAAAATATCTGCTTTCTAAGATGAAACTTGGCATCATTATTTTCCCCAGATGGGCAAAGTACTGTGCTCACTTCTCACTATTTTCTTGGCAGTGGAAATACATTAGCAGGGCTAGTGACTTAAAAGAATTGGCCACCAGTTCTTGAGAGGTCCTGAGTTTGGTTCAGCCCAAAACTCTCCAGGGGGCGACTCCACCCAAATCCAAGACGTTGCACCATATGACACTGTAAATTAGATGAGAATCCAGATTGAGGGCCAATAGACTCAAGGGTCCCTAAACTCTGCCCTCGTATTGTTTTCATGGGCTATTTCTGTATTCCTTGAGGGCCCCATAGACATCTGTATTCTTTCTGCAGTCAAGCCTTCACTCCTACTTATTTCTACATTTGAACGGAAGTCTTCATGTGTAATCTTCTCCATGCCTTTAGCTTTGAGCGGCAAGATTTGTATGACAGAGAAATGGCCTACCCTGTGCCCGCTGTTCTGTTTCCCTTCCCTCGCATTGCAGGGCTTTCCACCTGTAAGTGCTGCCCCAGCCAGGGGAGGACTAAGCTCGGCTCTTTATGCAGCACTGCCTTGTACTCAGTACCTTCCTGGTTTTACCACTATGTTGGCTTGTGTCCTGTGCTGGGGGTGTTAAAATGCAGGTGGGTCTTCCCTCTTCTCTCTCCTGCTTCGGGTGAGGGGACCGGAGAGAAGCCCCAGGCAAAAACTCCAGCTGGTAGGAGCAGCCGCAGAAGGGATCAAAGCCAGGCCTTTTGGAAAACGCAGTTGCTACGGGACTTTCCCTGCCCTGCGCTGCTCAACTCTTTGTCGCCTGTCAGTCTTGTCACCCCACTTTCATCCCACACCTGTCTCGCTACCCTTCCTTCCTTCCTTTTTTATTCCATATAGGTTATGCCTCCCAACTAATCCTCACCCCGCAAAATGCTCCCCCCTCCTCCCACTTTCCCAAATTGTTAAATTTAACATCAGTGTTCTACGCTCGCCCCTTCCCGTGTGTTTGTGGCCTATTTAGAGCGTAAGCTCTTTGGAAGAGAAGACGCTATTTCATACAGTGCCTAACACATTGGGAGCCTGTTCTTGGTAGGCTCTTAGGCAATACCGTAAAAAACTCCAACTCGTCATCATGATATCCCAGACGAGCTGTGGAGGGGTGTGAAACGCTTTCCCTGGGGTTCTTGGCAGAGAGCGTTTGAGACTCCCCATGCCCAAAGAAGGGTGACTGCACCCGAAAGCTTGCCAAGAACTTTTTTCCAACTACTCAGTTGGTCTAATAAAAGATATTGCATCTACTCAAAGAACCCGGCCTGCCGACATCCTTAGATCAACATGGCTACAGCCAAAAACTCTGGGATTCTTGGAGGTTTGCATTCCCATGAATATTGAAAGCCCCTTGCTCAGCATGCCATCTGGAACTGAGATCAGAGTTATTATTGATAAGACTCAGTGCAAACCTACCTAAGCAAAAATGCTGGGATTTCTTTCCATTTTATTTTATTATTTTTTTTTTTTTAGATAACTTGGATTTGTAGGAATCAACCTGTTCTTTCTTTGGCTTCTGTAGCATTTAAACACATCCTTTGCAACACTGGTTTTATAATAGGTCAGAATTGGAATTAGATCAAATTTGCTCATACAGCCTTATGGCCAGATTCGGAGTCAAGAAGGAACTTCTCTTCCCAGGTCAGATGGGTGGAGAGAAAACTTCATGGGCTGTGGCTGCACAGAGCCTGAGCTGGCAAGAGGTTGAGAGGCTCCTGCCACTTGACTAGAAAGTTAAGGCCACTCCAGGCCTTTAATGCAGGGGGTCCCAAACTGTGCATTCCTGGGGGTACGCAAGACCTATCTAGGTTTCATGTGGGAGAAATTGTGTAGCGGTGGATTTAATTTCCATTATAATAATAATAATAATAATAATAATAATTGGCATTTAAGAGGCTAAAAAATAAAACATATACTGGTCGGGGCACACAGGCAGCTGGTAAATCGGCAAGCGGGTATGCAATAAGAAAAGGTTTGGGAACCTCTGCTGTTGTGGATTGGACACCGATGGCATAAAGCCATTCCTTCCAGGTCAGTGAACAGCCGTGCTCGAGCCCGCATGCAAGGAAGGTGGCAATCCTGAGGCTATTGTTGGAGACAATGTTCAGCTCCAGCCTGACTCTACCTTCTCTCGCCTCATCCATGTCTCTCCTCCGTGTGCCTTTGTCCCATCCATCCAATATAGCTTCGTCCATGACATGCTTCTCCCCGCTTCCTTGTAAGGAGCTGTCTCCTTCATCTAAAGCCTGGTCAACCCTCATTGTACAGTATGTTATAAAGAAACACCAATGTGTGTAAGGACTCCCTGGAGTCCCCGTGAGCCAGATTTCTAACTGGTCCCTAAACCTTTGGCATGTGTATTTAATGCTCTGTGCCCTGACTCCCCTGAAGAGCCTCAGCAGCTTGCGGGAAGTACTAAATGCCTCCTCCCGAGCTCTTCCAGTAAGTATGCAGTACCACTGGTTTCCCTTGATGGTCCGCTGGGTGGCACCAGACACTTGGCAATGCACCGAGCGTCCTCCCAAACCTGGTTCTCTGCCCTGCTTCTGTTACTTGGTAGAAGAGTCATGCAAAGTTACTGATATTTCAAATTACCATGTAAAAAAAAAAAAAAAAAAGGGGAAGGGGGGACTGGCTGAGAGCTAAAAGTAAACTGTTATATACCTCCTCCTTTCTAGCAAAATTTGGGGTGCTGATCGGTGTGAATTATAGCCACTTGTCCTCCAAGAGCACCATTTCAACTCACAGAAAGGGTGTGGAAGGTGAAAGTGTCACTTTGCTAAGCTCCCCTGTATCTGGATTTCTGCCCTGAGTATTAGCTCGGCAGCTGGCTTGTCAGAAACGCTGCCAAGATGTTTGCTACGGGAAAGGCAGTTGGACATAAATGCTGGTTCTAGAGGGGGGTATAATGGAAAAGGAAGTTTTGCTCCAAATAGCATCACCCTTCCCAGTCCAGCAGGTGCTTGAATGAGAAATAGCAGGAAAAAGTTACAGCTTGCAAGCCTCGCAGAGGATTCAGCTTGGATCAACGCCCCATTCTGCAAGGCGCTGTATGTACTTACTGCAGGAGACAAGCCAAAGGACAGTACGGGAAGCATGAATGGAAAGGTGGATGAAGGTCAATGTGAGGTCTGACACTAGAAACCTGGTCTCCTGCTGCTGGGATGGTGCCATCAACTGCCCCTACGTAGGTCGAGTTGAACACTTCAAGCTTGATAGGGATGACAGGTCCAGTAGCTCTG